GCATGCGACGTCCTGAGATTTCCAATGCGGGGTCACGGATCCCTGGAAGTCCCGACCCTCTCCCCACGGCCGGTGTTTCGCCTTGCATCGTTCTCTTGACGCTCCTGGGGCCCGGCGGGGGCGCCTGCCAAACACCAGCCGTCTTGTCCGAGACGCTCCTACGTCTGGACCTCGGTCTCAGGGCACTCGGCGTCCTCCCGACAGGTGCTGGCGGCGAGTCTGCGGGACGCGCCCGGCGCTTCCGCCGCGGCCGCGGGCGCCGCCGCCGAGCCGCCCGCCGGCGGCGTGGCCGGCTGGTTCGGCCCCGCGCCCGCCCCCAGCGCGACCGCCGACGCCGGCGCCGACGCCGGCGCCGACGCCGAGCTGCGGCGCGCGCTGGACGTCAGAGGGGGCAAATCGGCCGCGCGCAGAGGGGGGCAGGGGGAGGCGGGCAGGCTTCTTAGAAGCAGCCCTGCTTCTTAGAAAGGCGCGGGCCTTGTGTGTAGATGTAGGCCGGCGCCCTCTGGAATGCAGGGTGCTTCTAAGAGGCCTTCCCCTCTCCCCCTACTCCTCTGCACGCCGCCAAGCAAAGGTAATTGCCCCAGAGGTCTGGGCTTTGCGATTTCTTCACAACGCCACGTTCGCTCGGTTTCGGGGCCCGCGACCTTCACATCGATCTGGCTCAAAGAGTGGCCGAGAGAGGTGGCGTCTAGGGCTTTGGTCGCGATCTTTCGCGACGTTGCACTTGTTCCGCAGCGTCGGATCTCATGGACCGGCACCGCTGCCCTCGCTTTCCCCTCTCTTGTGCCTCCTGGGAGGTCCTCGTCGCCGCGGCTGGATCTGCCTCGAAATCCAGGTCAGAACGCGCCCCGGGGGAGGTCCGGGTGGAGGGTTTCTCCGAAGGGCTTAGGCGGGGCGACCCGTCCGTCCTTCTCCTCCTCCTCGTCGTCCTCCTCGTCGTCGTCGTCGTCGTCGTCCTCCTCCTCCTCCTCCTCCTCCTCCTCCTCCTCCTCCTCCTCCTCCTCCTCCTCCTCCTCCTCCTCCCCCTCCTCCCCCTCCTCCTCCTCCTCCTCCTCCGCCTCCTCGGGTCGTCTACGGCCCTGGGGGAAACCGTGCAGGTCTGGAGAGTTGCGGTCTTGGTACCTTGCCGGGCTTCTCCTGCAGGAGGAGAGCGCGCGGCAAGACGGGGGCAGCGCCGCGCCCAGACCTCCGGCTCGGCGGCGCGCCATGGGTGGTAGTGAGAAGGGGCGGGTCTTCTCAGAATACTCGGAAAGGAGGAGGAGGAGGAGGAGGAGGAGGAGGAGGAAGTTTTCGCAGCCTTGCCCGAAGGCACGGGAAACTTCTCAGAAGGCCCGCGGGCTTCTGAGAAGTCCCGCCGCCTTCTGACAGGATCTTCTCCTTCTCACTTCCCCCCCTCGCTCGCCGCCGAGTCTCGAGAAGCTCAGTGCGGAAGTTTTCCGAAGAACGCCTCGGGATGAAGAGCTGGCCCTGGGGAGAAGGTCTAGGCCATGGAGTTCCGACGTCGCAGAAAAATCGCAGCATCGTGAGAAGTCAGACAGGGCCCCCAGACCACACCTTTTCGCGGCATCTTTCGAGCCGCACCGATCCGTGAGGGCCCTGGGGGGGCCCGAAACGAGACAAGGTCGCCAGCTGTGACAAACGTTGCAAGGCCAGGACCTCAGGGCGTAACTGTGGGCAAAAACCCGCTCAAGTGTGATAAAAACGCAAGCGTGTTGCATGCCTGCATGCCTGCACACCTGCAGCAGCTCGTGCAAGGCATGTGCAATCACGAGCTGCAGTGGCAACGATGCTCGGCTCAAGTTGTTTCTTTTAAAATTAGCCTGGCGAAGGGCCCAACCATATGCAATTGTGGGTGCCGTCGTTGTGAATATTGCCGTCAGTGAATCTTCTTATAGGGCCACGGAGCGGGTGAAGGGTGTGTGCCAAAATGTAGCCTTAGGTGGAGCTCCCTGTGGGGCCACGACACGTGTGAGGGGTTCGCAGACATGGAAGGCGGAACCGCATGTGGGCGCTGCCACCGGAGGCTTCGGTGGAGCCCCCTTTTAGGGCCTTCAAACGTGCGAGGGGTGCACTGAAGTGGAGGTGAGACCGCATGCTGGCGCCGCCGCTGGGGCCATCGCTGGAGCTCCCTTGGGGCCACGAGCGTGCGATGGATTCGCCGCAATGGAGGGTGGAACCGCGTGCGTGCGGTTCCGCTGGGGCCCTCGGTGGAGCTCCCTATGGGACCACCAAACGTGCGATGGATTCGCCGATATGGAGAGTGGAACGAGTGGAACTGCATGCGGGCGCTTCCACTGGGGCCATCGCTGGAGCTCCCTATGGGGCCACGAGCGTGCGATGGATTCGCCGCAATGGAGGGTGGAACCGCGTGAGTGCGGTTCCGCTGGGGCCCTCGGTGGAGCTCCATATGGGTCCACTAAACGTGCGATGGATTCGCCGACATGGAGAGTGGAACTGCATGCGGGCGCTTCCACTGGGGCCCTCGGTGGAGCGCCCTATGGGGCCACGAAGCGTGTGAGAGGTGCACCGAAATTCAGGGTGGACCTGCATGCGGGCGCTGCTACTGGGGCCTTTGGTGGAGCTCCCTGTGGGGGCCACGAAACGTGTGAGAGGTGCACCGGAATGGGGGTGGAACCGCCTGCGGGCGCTGCCACTGGGGCCTTCGGTGGAGCTCCCTATGGGGCCACGAAACGTGTGAGGGGTGTGCCGCAATTGAGGGTGTAACTGCATGTGGGTGCTGCTACTGGGGCCTTCGTTTGAGCTCCCTATGGGGCCGCGAGGCGTGTGAGGGGTGCACCGGAATTCAGGGTGGAACTGCATGTGGGCGCTGCCACTGGGGCCTTCGGTGGAGCTCCCTATGGGGGCCACGAAACGTGTGAGGGGTGTGCCGACATGGGGGTGGAACCGCATGCGGGCGCTGCTACTGGGGCCTTCGGTGGAGCTCCCTATGAGGCTACGAACGTGTGAGGGGTATGCCGAAATGGAGAGTGGAACTGCATGTGGGTGCTGCCACTGTGGCCTTCGGTGGAACTCCCTATGGGATCAGGAAACGTGTGAGGGGTGTGCCGACATTGGGGTGGAACCGCATGCGGTCGCTGCCACTGAGGGGGAATTGCATGCGGGCGCTGCCACTGGGGCCTTCGGTGGAACTCCCTATGGGGCCACGAGGTGCTGTGCTTGGTGCGGAAGGCAGAGGCAGGGATGGGAGGAGGGAGGAGGGGGAGGAAGGAGGAGGAGGAGGGAGAACGCGGGGCGCTGTCTCTTCCAAACGAGGACCCAATACCACAGGATGGTTGGGAAGTAAGAGCAACGCGCTCGAGTTTTTTTTATCACACGCGAGACGTCGATCCTCAGAGGTCTCGATCCGTTCCACGGGGCCGGCTGCTCATCCCGAGCCGTTTCTGCACGGGCCTCTGGGGGCCCGGGAGGGCCCCCCAGCGGCCGCACTCGGCCAAGAGCCTCCCGTCATGGTTTCTCTTAGCGGCGCGAGGCTCTCTGGGAGGCCAGGATCTCGGGGACCTCTGGGGGCCCCGCATTGAGAAGTTCAGTCGGGACTCAAGCGACGGGGGTCAATGCAAGCGGGGGTCAGTCAGAGCGCCGGATCTGCCAGGATCCTGCAGAGCCAGGGTTGCGCTGGCCCTGGCTTGGGCGCAGGATCCTGCAGGATCCCGCAGGATTCTGCAGGATCCTGCAAGGCCTGACTGACCCGGGTCTGGATTGACCTGGGTCAGTACAGGCGGCCCGGATTCGTAGGTCGACCCGGCCAGACCAAGGGTACCCTTGTGTCCCGTGTCTCGCGGCCCCTGCTTCGCACATTCCTGTGGCGATGTGGCCCTCGAAAGGGTCTTGTGTCCTCTCGCGTGTCCTCTCCAATCAAGCCCGACTGTAGATCCCAGACTCAAGACGTCGGACGTCTGGGCGCGGCACGGCGCGCCATGGGCGCACCACGCGGCGCAGCTCGCGGGGGGCCTCTCGGAGGACCAGGCTCTCCAGCGGGCGCTGCGCGAGAGCTGCGGGGCGGAGGAATTCTACGGCGCGCGGCGGCTGATGGGCCCTGAGGTCCAGAAGTCGCCGTGAAGGGAACGGGTCCTGAGGGAAGCGGGGCCTGAGTTTTTGCTTGCGGTTTCGGGCTTCCCGTGGCCCTCCACGGGCCTTCAGGATGAAGAACTGGCTCCTCGGGTCCCGTTTTCATCAGGACCCGTTTCCTTCATGCTAGCTCGACGACTTTCCTCAGATCGATTTGCGGAGAGCAAGTCAGATAAAGCGAGGTAATCCAGATGCATAAGTCGTATATCCAGGGTAGATCCAACGTAATCTAGACAAATCCACAGACCCCCAAAGAACTCTGGTGGACGCTCCAGCGCGAGTCGAGGGAGATCAGAAGTCGTTGAGCCCTTAACGACGAGGGGCCCTTCTACCCGGCCGGGCTGGCCAACTCGGGGAACTCGTGCTTCTGGAGCCCGCAGCAGAGAAAGTGGCACAAGTATAAATTTTCGAAGCTTCGCGCGCACTTCTCGGATCGACGCCGTGGCCTGCTGGAGGCGCATCTGGTGCCGTCCCTGGCGCGCTCCGCCGCGGCAGGGACGGGGGGTCCGCGCCGAGCTCCGGAAGTTTGTTGGGTCTATGCGAGTCCCCCCCCTTCCTCCAGGAACGCGCTGCTCCAGGCTCCGTAGCTGCCTCGATACGCCCGTTTCGATACGCAACACGCACCGTGCTCGAATCGCCCGTGTCAACACCGTGCGTGTTGGCTCAGCGCATGGGCCCGCGCTCTGGGCGAACGTGTCGCGCCAGACCTGCGTTTTCGACCTTCGCGCGGAGCTCCGTGCCCACGCGCTGTACGTGCTGCGTGCCGCGCATCGGGGCAGCCGAGCCAGGCGCTCTTTGCTGCGACGCCCGTGTTCCGGGGCGCCCTGTTCCAGCTGGCCGAGCCAGCCGGCGGGGCGGGCGCGCGGGCGGACGGCGCGGGGGTGCTCGGCCTGCTGCGGGACCTCTTCGCCGAGATGGACATGGGCCTCGCGCGTGCCATCGACGCCGGCGAGCTGTACCGGGCGGTCTTCCAGCGAGCGGAGGAGGCGGATGTCTCCGAGCAGGCTCACAGGCTGTTCGCGGTGGCCAAACACATAAAGCATGCTTGAACACAATAAGAATAGCAACATGTCAACAAGAAACAACAGGCTGTTCGCGGTTGCGAGCAGCGGCCCGGGCTCGCTCAGGGCGGTGTGCCAGGAGCTCTTCAGCGGCGACCTGTACGAGCGGCAGAGGGAGGGTGGCGTGCGCCGCACGCCCCTCGATGTGTGTCAGCTTGACCTCTGTGTGACCAAGCCAGCCCCCCTGGAGGACCTCTTGGAGGAGCACACCAGGGACGTGCATGGCAACATAGTCAGTCGATCGTACAGGCTGCCACCAGTGCTCTGGCTCAATCTGGACCGCTTCGTCTTCGACCGCGATGCCCAGAGAGGACGCAAGCGGCAGGTGCGCTCGGCGTTTCCAGACGTGCTGAACGCCTGGATGCTGGTGCCTCCAGAGGCTGAGTGGGCCTCTGGGCTGAGTGAGTGCGCCCGCCAGCGGGGTGTGCTTCTGGAGGCCCTGCAGGCCAACCGCGCGGAGGTGGAGCAACGGTCGCCGAATAATAATTATGATAATAATATCGATAGTGAGAAGAATACGGATCATGAGAAAGCGGATGCTAATACAGCTGCTAATGGGAATACTACTCATATAGAGAGTCAACATAAGCCGAATCATAAGAGTATTGATATGTATCACAACAAGACGAATGGCATAACGGGAATATCAACTCTAAACATGATAACCATACAAATATTTCGAATGCTTTAAAAAAAATAAATGACACTAGGAACACTATATATACATATAGATCTACACGACTAATGATATGATCACCGATGAACAACATAATATTATCAAGCAGAAGTATAAGTACTAATCACCTGCATCGACGTAAACTTCTGGAGGTCCGCGCGGAGCTCCGACAGTTTATGCTCATGCCGCTTCCTATTCCCGCAGGTCGAGCGGTGGCTGCTGCGGTGAGGGCGCGGAGGAGGTGCTGCTGGAGCTGGTGCAGCAGCAGGAGGAGCTCCTGGCCCAGCTTGTTGAGGCGGACCGCCGAATGGCCGAGCACGGCGCGGAACAGGAGCTGCTCTACAGGCTTGAGGCCGCCATCGTGCACAGAGGCCGAGTCGACTCGGGCCACTACTACGCCTACGCCAGGGCGCCCGTGCCAGCGGGGACCGAGCCGAGCGCCGACGCCGAGTGGTTCCTGAGATCTGGGCGTTGCATTTTTTCACGATGGGCGATTCTGCCAGGTTCGGGGCCACGGGACCCTCACGGATCGACCCAGATGGAAAGTGGCACAGGAAGATGGGGTGCGGGTCTCCGGTCGTTTTTTTCTTTTTGTGTTGCGATGCTGTATTCTTTTCGAGACGTCGGGTCTTTGGGCATGACGGCACGGACCTTTGGGCATGACGGCAAGGGGTCCTTCGGATGCAACTCATGGGAGGCCAAGTTCTGATTTTGCCCTGGTCCGAAATCCAATTGATCCCGCTGAATCCTGCCTAATCCCGCTTTGTCCCGCTCAAGCCGGCTTAATCCGAGGCCCACTCTTGCGTAGCAGCCCCCCAAAGGAGCTTAATCTTCCCTAATCTTTCCGACGAAGACCTCCTGGTAGTTGCCTCCTAAGGGTCTGGAGGGAAACGGGCCCGGAAGTTTCTCGCCGTTCGCGGCCTCCTCTGTCGCTGTCTGCGGCCTTTTTAGGTGCCCCTGCACGGGCCCAGGGGCCGTCAGAAGAGGAATCGGGATGAAGAGCTCCTGGCGGGAGGCCCTCGGGTCCGTTCGACTCGCCTCCCTCGGGGCCCTCTTCCTTCGTGCGAAGGTTCTGCCTGAACGACGCGAGCGTGAGCCTGTGCTCCGCCCAGGATCGAAGAAGACAAGTCTGCATAACCAAAATCTTTCGGAGCTCCGCGCGGATTTCTCGGATCGCGCTGGGGACCCCCCGGAGGCGCCTCCGACGCGGCCCCTGGCGCGTTCCGCGCGCCGAGGAGGGGGATTCCAGTGCCGACCCAAGGAATCCGCGCGGACCTCCGCAAGGTTAGTGCTTATGTAGCTCGGTCGGCACTTGTCACCGTTGTTCTGGCTTGCGGCTGTTGGGCAAGCGTGCCAGCTACTGCAGGCTTATGATTCTGCCGTTCTTTTTTCTTCTTCTTCTTCCTCTTCCTCTTCTTCTTCTTCTTCTTCTTCTTCTTCTTCTTCTTTATTCTTCTTCTTCTTCTTATTCTTTTTTATGTTTTTTGTTTTCCTCATTTTTCCTCCTCTTCTTCTTCTCCTCCTCCCCCTCTTCTTTCCCCTCTTCTCCTCCCTCCTCCTCCTCGTCCTCTCCCGAAGGAGATGCACAGGGTCTGCGAGGGCCTGGGCGAGGGTGGCGCGGAGCCGCCGGGCTCGCCCGCGCAGGCGGGCGGCCAGGCCCGCGCCGGCGCACTGCGCCCGCCGGCGCCCCCGGCGCCGTGCCCTAAGTCGGGCCCTTCCCCCTACAGGGGGATTTTCGACGAAAAATCAAAAATACCCCAAAATAAGCAAAAAGTAGTCCAAAAAGGGTCCGGGGACTTTTTTTTGTTTTATATTTTGTTGTTTTATATTTTTTGTTGTGTATCTCTCTCTCTCTATATATAAATATATAAATAAAAAACAACTTTTTGGGGAACATTTGGGGTACTTCTTAGTTTTCGTCGAAAATCTCCTTTTAGGGGGACAGGCCCGACGTAAGCCGTGCCCCGCGGAGGCCTCGGCGACAGGCGCGGAGCTGCTTGGCGGGCAGGGGCCGCCGCCCGCGGGGCGGCAGGGCTTCTGGGGCTCCATCCGACGGTGCTCGGGACGCGTGCGCCGACGGTGCGGCGGCGAGCGAGGGGCCCAGACCTCCGACGTCGCGAGAAACCCACGACGCAGGTTTTTGACGATTCTCGGCCTCTGGAGGCCCTCGCCGGGCCTCGGGAGCGTCAGAAAACTACTCGGGATGAGAAACCGGCCCCAGCGAAGGTCTCCAGATTTTGGGGGGGCCAACGTCGTGAGTTTCTCACGACGTCGGGGGTCTGGGGGGGGGGGAAGATAGGGGGCCACATGCGAACCCTACCCCCCTACCCCTACCCCCCACGATTTCTGAGGGGGAGGGTGGGGTTCACTTCGTGCGGGAGCTCCCGAGCGAAGCGAACCCCCCCCCCCTCAGAAGTCGTGGGGGGTAGGGGTAGGGTTCGCATGTGGCCCCCTAGCGAGGAGGAGGAGGCCTTCTCGGAAGGCGGCAGGGCTCCTCTCGGGAGCCCTCGGGCCTTCCGGGAGGCTGTCCGGTGTCTTTGGGGAAGGCTCAGGGAACTTCTCGGAGGGCCGGGGGACTCTTGTCGAGCCTTCTGCGAAGGCCAGTCCCTTCTCGCTTCCCCCTGGGCTCGCCGCCGAGATTAGGGTGAGGGCATTTGATAAGGAACCCTTGGATCAGGACTCCAGGGTCTGGAAGCCAGTGAAACACCAATGGAGGCTAGGCCATGGACATCACAGCGGCCCTCATCAGATAAGGGATCCTCAAGGGTCTGTGAAGCCTCTTGGGCACATTCCCTAACTGACGCCCCCGCCGTAGCCCGCGGTCCGTCAACCCGCTTTACCGCACCGTGCAAAGCGAGGCCCCCCCTCGCTACGTGGAGGCCCCAGGGGACCTCCTCCACCCTGTGTTGATTCGCTGTGAAGTCAGATCTCGCGCGGTGCTTGCTTTCAGCTCCAAGCCCATGACATGTGCGACAAGGCTCAAAACATTTGGCCCATGAGCCCTGCCTTGAGCGCAGGCCTAAACGTGGAACAGCTGCGGAAATGGCGATTTACGCGGAAGAATATGGATACCACGACGGTGACAGACGGAAAGGTCTAGGCACCAACGGAAGAGATGAGGAAGCCCAGATATCTTGGCGTCTAAACTTTTAGAGGCGGGCGCTTTCGCCAAGTTTTGGGTCCTGAGGCCCTCGCAGATCGATGCGGCTCGAACAGTGGCGCAGAAAGATGGGGTCTAGGACTCTGGCCGCAATTTTTCCGATGTTGTATTTTTGTCGCTACGTCGGATCTCAGGTGTGTGTGTGTGTGTCACCCCACTCAGCTCCGCTGGTAGCACGCAGCCTGTATCGGCCTTCATAGCACCCCCTGTGTCGTGTTGAAGGGTCGCGGTAGACAAGCACACGTCGGCGCTAGCACACGTTCTGAGGACCATCGCGAAGAAGACAGCACTCCATGAGCCAATCTTTCGGAGCTCCGCTCGGATGACCCTAGATCGGCGCGTGCGCCGGAGGCGCCGCCGAAGCGGCCCCCGCACCCATCCAGGAACCTCCGCGCGGAGTTCCGAAAGCCTACGCCTGTGCCGTGCTTTCTTCCTCCACCCATGACCTCCGTGTTCGGGTGCATGCCGTCCTGCAGTGGCCAGGCCGCTCCGCCCGATGCCGACCGCCCGCAGTCGCCGCCGAGCGCCGCCGCGCCGCCGGCGCCCTCGGTGGCGGCCCAGCCCGCGGCAGCGCAGACGGCCGCCGACGCCGGCCAGACCGTGGGGCAGGCGAGGGGAGAGCCCGCGGCGCCCGCGGAGGAAGAGTCCACGGCCGCCCGCTGCCTCGTGTACGTGAGGTTCGGAGATCAGAGCAAGTCGAAGCGGCATGAGCACATCGGCTTTCGGGGGTTGTTCTGGCATGCTGGAGTTCCCTTCCCATCAGCTGGGCAGCCGGCACTTTTTCATCCTCGGGCCTTCGTGCGAGTAGGAAAGGGTAGGATAATTACCCTAAAGGCTCGACCCCACAGATGAATGCTCGGGCCACATGAGAAGCAACAGCAACATCATTAGCAACCACACCAGCAAGGCTGGTAGAGGTCTCAGAACACGCACTCCTTATGACCAGGGAAGAGCCCCTCCTGCTGACACACGTTTTCGAGAACTGCATGAACATAAATTTTCGGAGGTCGCCGCGGATTTCTCGGATTGGCGCTGGGGCCCCTCTGGCGGCGCCTCTGGCACCGCTCCTGGCGCGCTCCGCTCGCCAGGGGTGGGTGGGTCCCGCGCCGATCCAAGAAGTCTGTGCGAAGCTCGGAGCGCCTGTGCTTTTGCAGCGAGGTGCGGCGCCAGCTCGGACGGCTTGCTGACCGAGGTGCGGCAGCGCGTCCCGCGCGAGCTGCAGGAGCGGATCGACACCAAGAACTTAGAGCTGCTGCGGCTCAGCGCCGAGAGGGTGGTCGAGGACTTTGCGCGGTGCGTCCGCCACTTGACCAGCCACGAGCCCGGCGAGCAGGACTCGAAGAACAATCATCTGCACAAAGATGTTTTTCAGAGGCCAGTGCGGATTTCTTGCATCGGCGCTGGACCCCCCTGGCGGTGCCTCCGCCGCCGCCCCTGGTGCGCTCCGCGTTCCAGGGAGGGGGCTCCAGCGCCAATCCAAGAACTCCGTGCGGACCTCTGGAACTTTGTGTATGGTTATGCAGTTTCCTGTTGTTCTGAGGACGAGGGGGAGCGCCCACGGGACGCCTTGCAAGGCGCGCTCAAGCACGCCGAGCGCATCCGTGCGGAGGGCGGCATGCCCCGTGCCCGGGCGTACCTCCTCAAGAGGTGCTGGCAGGAGCACGTGGCCTGGCTCCCGGAGGACCTCTGCCCGACCGCCACGCCCCCGGACTTCCGGATGCACTACGGCAGCGCGGCCAAGAGGTTCCTGCTGGACGCGCTGATCAAGCGTGGCCAGCACGACGTCGCGTCCCTGATAGTGTCCAGCACCACTGGCTCGGACGCCTTCGTGCCCCCAGACGTGGAGGCCTGGCTTTCTGCGCGGGCCGAGAGCGCCTGAAGGCGCGCGGCGCCCAGCCTCGGTGGCGGCGGCCTGCGGCTCGTGCCTGGGCGACGGCGTGCGCGCGCCCGCAAGCGGGGGCCCTGAACTCTGCGCCGGAGGCAGTGCCGGAGCAGGAGGCGTAAGAGTGGAAAGGGGGGGTGAAGAAGGCGACCATGTGAGGCGTTTCAGAAAGGGCCTTGCCATCAAGGATCGAAGGAGTTGCCACCTCTTCCTCGGCGGAAGGCGGCGGATTGACGGCGGAAGTAGAACGGCGGCGGCTTGGCCGGCGGAAGGCGGCGGAAGCCCAGCGGAAACCAGCGAAAGTATAAAGTTGCCTTTCAAGAGATGGCAGCATTTTTGGGTCAAGGGTTTCCGGAACCCGACATGTGAGCGGAAAGCCGACTCGGGTGAGTTGGCTCGAAGGCGCTTCGGGTTGCATCAGTTGAAGCCGAAACCAAGGCTGAAATGCAGAGAAAATGGAAAGGGTCCACCCTGCAGTTTTGGTTGACAGCGCACGGTCCAGGTGTTGTTGGAGGTGCAAGAGGGGGAAAAACGAAGAAGGTAAAACGGCATAAGCATAAATGTTTCGAGATCCGCGCGGATTTATGGGGTCGGCGCTAGGGCCCCCAGGCGACAGGGACGGGGGGCCAGCGCCGTTCAAGAAGTCCGAGCGGACCTTCGGAAGTTTGGGTATTGTTTTTTTTTCTGCTTTTTTGTGGTTGCTCGGTTGTTTTTAATGGGCATGCCCGCCCCCGCACCCCTCTCCCGCCCCCCCCTCGCACACACACGCACACACACACACCAACAGAAGCATCCCCAATAGCCCATCAGGGTGGCTCTTGGGGGTGTTGCTGCTGGTGGGAGGGAGGCATTCCCAGAGTCTCCAGGACCTTCGCAGCAATCCTTAGGACTATGAGGACTGAATCCCTAGGAGGTCCTCAGGGATCTCTCGGTATCTTCTTTGGATTTTGAGGATCGTGGGGCTCTATTGGGGCTGATGGCTCTTCTATTGGGATTATATTCGAGCTGTCGGCGCTCTTGTAAGGATCCTAGGAGAGGTGTAGGCATTCCAGATCGCATGCCAGTCTAGCTGTAGGCGCTGTCAAGACGATCCACTTAGGGTTGTAGGCACAACGGGACTCGCCTCAGGGATCCGTATATGGTTTGGGCCACAGAGTCGATTGGGCGAGATTCTTGGAACGAACCGGGATAGAGAGTACCTGCTGGCGCGGGTGTGCGGGTGTGGGTGTTGGGAAGGGTGGGGCTGCGCACGGGTCGTCGGTGCAGGGGTTCGCCCTGCGGGGGGAGGCGTGGACTGTCGCGCCGTCCACAGGCCCGCAGTTCGCGTGTTGATGTTGTTGTTGTTGATGTTGCTGTTGCTGTTGCTATTGCTGTTGTTGTTGTGGTTGTTTTGTTGTGGATGTTGTGGTTGTGGTTGTGGTTGTCGTCGTCGTCGACGTCGTTGTGGTTGTTGTTGTGATTGTAGTTGTAGTTGTTGTTGTTGTTGTTGTTGTTGGTGTTGTTGTTGTTGTTGTTGTTGTTGTTGTCGTTGTTGTTGTTGTTGTTGTTGTTGTTGTTGTTGTTGTTGTTGTTGTTGTTGTTGTTGTTATTGTTGTTATTGTTGTTGTTGTTAGTTAGTATTGTTATTGGTGGCGT